GCTCTCGGGGCTCGCCCCCCGCCGCTCCGGGCAGGCGCGCCTATGGCGTTTCTAAGGTGACGCTGCGCACAGCGACTTTCTCCGGCGGCGGCGGAGGACACGCCTATGAACCCTTCGGCGACCTTCTTCGCCGGGCGCCAGGTGAGCGGCCGCCGCGGGCCCGCCGTTCCCGGGGCGAGGGGACGGCAGGCCTCGGGGCACGACGTGCATCCTGGCCGAACTCGGGGGGCTTTTAAGGCACGGTTTCCGCTTAAATTGAAAACCGCACGCGGGTCGTCGAGGAGAAACGGGGCGTCGCGTCGGTCTCCTGACCTCCGGGGACCCTGACGTTCAGCCCAGGCGCAGGGACGAGTGCGGGGACCGGGTGCCCGCCTAACGATGACAGCGGGCGCTCGTGGAGAGGGAGCAGCCAGTGGGGGGCGGCGCAGTCATAACTCCGTTTCCGCAAAAAGTCTGGAAAGCGAACTTGCCCGAAGCGTGCATGTGTCGGTCTATACTGTGAGATGAACTTTTTTGTACACTGGGATTATTGCCGGTTTTCCGATGCTGGACTATACATGCTCTTCGCCCGCGCGCCCCTTTGCTGTGTTCCCAAGCCACTTGGTGCGCAGTAAATGTTTTGTGGCATGAATGAGTGAATTAATGAGTGGCTTACCAAAGACCAGAATTCAAGTCTTGTGATTTGGAATCCTTTGGCTCCAAATTCCATTTTCTGTGTTTATGTACTAGTGAGTAACTGTAGTTCATTCGTTATTATCTATTTACAAATCTTATTTTTCAGAAAATAGCAATGATGTAGATGAGACTCTAGTGAACTTGACTGTCTAAGCTAGAATTCTTAAAGCAATGTGTTTTGTTTAGTTCTTTATTTCACAGATGAGGACAGAACCATATTTTGAAAGGTGACTTAATCTTAATAGCTAATGTTTGTCGAGTGCCTACTAAGTGCCAAGTACTGTCAAGCGCTTGACAGAGCTCATCTTCCACAATACACACAACTCTAAGAGGTCACATGCTGTTTTTAGCATTTTGCCGGTTAGGAAACTATCTGCTTAGAGGAGTTAAGTAACTTGCCCAAGGTTAGAGGGTCACTAAGTGACTAATTCTGGATTCACACTTCAGGTCAGACCAGTTTCACTGCACTGGACTTTAAAATGATGTATGCTTGAAAGGAATTGTTGTAGGTAGCTTTGGTCGGTGTGAAAAGGGCATCGTGGTTATGTAAAAATGTTCATTTTTAGAGATGCATACCAAAGTATGTAAGAGTGCAATGTATTTTTTGTCAATAACAAAAAAAAAATTGAAACGAGAAAATCTTCATAAGAGCAGCACCTGGGCACTGCGTGTGTGGGGGTTCATTGTGCTCTTCTTCTGTCTTCTGTGTGTGTGTGTTTGAAAATTTTCCTTTACAAAATTTATTTTCAAATAGATATGCTGAGTTTGGACCAGTCTTAATATTAAGTTGTTCTTGGTAGATTGAATGTTTAAAGATGTGTTAGATGTTATGAGAATTATTTACATTTAAACAGTACTTATTTCCATGTTTCCCTTTACTTGATCACCCCAGGATTCCTGGGCAAGGTGAGGGATAATATATTGTTAATTGATACAAGGAGAGGCTGGGTAAAGAAAAATACGCAGAAACAGGTTCATTTGTGATTAGCCAATGGAGGTTTTACAGACGGTCTGAATTTTCAAGAGTGGTGTATGTGCCATGACAAAATGATAGCCGTACAGGGCGTAGCGGGTGTGGACGCTTGTTTTCAGTACACATAATTTTGATACCATTTATACACAGTGAGTGAAAGTTAATTTAACTACCTTAGATTGGCAGCAAAAGAAGATATAATTATTTGGAAAATGTGCTTTGGCCGATTTATGTTATTGATTAGTTTTATTCTGCTGTGAAACCACTTTCTATGATCAGAACATCGGGTCAGAAGTCGAGATTTCCACTATCGAGAAACAACGGAAAGAGCTGCAGCTGCTCATTGGAGAATTAAAAGATCGCGATAAAGAGCTCAATGATATGGTTGCAGTACATCAGAGACAACTTCTTTCATGGGAAGAGGATCGGCAGAGCGTTGCAGCAAGTTAGAAGGTCAGAAATGCATTCAGTAACACCCGTTGTGCACTTCTAATATGCTAACACATTAAAATGAGAATGCTAGAGAAAGATTACCTCAGCACTGTGCCTGCTGTCCTGGAGTTTCGTTTCATTGAAGAGAGGAGGACTTTGCGAACACTCACAATCAAACAAACAATGCGAATTAAAGTAGGGCAGGCAAAGCACTTAAACGTAGAAAGCGTGCTGGGTAGAGCTCCAGTTAACATGGAGTGCCAAGAGCGAGTCTTTAGGAAATTAGTTTTGAGCTAGAATATAGATAAGGATGCCACAGAACTAACCATTTCTCATGAACTGACTAAAGATTTTAAACTCTTGATGTTGAATTTGATCTTAAGTACCTAACACAGTCATCTTTTAAAATGGTAGCAATCTCAAAAATGGCTTGCAAAAATTTTTTTGTTCCATATTTTAGTTCTTTTTTATTCCTTTAGTGCTGCCCTAAAGTCTGAATGTTCTATTGACACTACGTTGATACGAGAGTATTAGAGGGGAAAACACTAGATCTGTTTAATAGAAAGATAACCATACTGCACCTTTTTCTTTATATTACACAAGGATCCTGTAAATATGACAATCTAAATATGCATAATTTTTCCATTTCTTTGAGGACCATCTGATTTTACTTTTCCCATACTCTGTCTACACGTAGATACACCTAAACACACTGTTTACTATAGTTGCATATTAGATGTAATATAAGATCACATAAAATATTTTGTGTAAACATGTTCAAGAACAAGGTAACATTATATATATATAACCATCAGTATCTGGATTTAAAATAAGGAACTTGAATAGGCATTTCATGGAAAACTGAATGGGCAATAAATATATAAAAAGGTTCTCATTCTCATTAGTAATTAGGAAATGAAAATTAAAACCGTAGTGAGACAACATTTCACACTTACCAGCCGGGTAGAAATTATCAGGTGTCGGTAAAGGCATGGGGCCACGGGAAGGCTGTTCACTGCTGGTAAATGCGTCAGTTGGTACGACTACTTTGGAAAATCGTTTCACGGTTTCTCGTAAAGTTGAAGATACACATAACTGTTGTCCCAGCGTTTCCATCCACTTCAGTGTGCACATGAATGGCCTCAGGATCTTGTAAACCTATAGATTCTAATACAATAGGTCTGGAGCTTGAGAGTCTGCATTTCTGACAGGTTCCCGGTGATGTCAGTGCTGCTGGTCCAAGGACCACTTTGGGTAGCCGGGCTGGAGAGGAACTCCTGCAAAAACGCACCAAGATGCATGGACAGGACTATTCAGAGCAACATTGTTCATTATATCTGCAAAGTGGAAACAACCCAGTGACCATCAGTAATAGAATATAGATGGATAGATTTTGGCATAGTCATATACTGGGACATTTTGTAGAAATGACAGTGTACAGACAGGGTTGCAGCAATATAGATCAATCTCAGGAGCATACTTAAGTGAAAAAAGCAGACAGAAGAATTTATAAAGGGATGTGGTCATAGGTGGTAAAACTATAATAAACTATACTAAACTATAGTAAAAAGTAAGGAAATTATTAAGATCAGAGTAGTGGTTGGGAGAGTGGAAATTGGAGAGATTCTGTTCAGTAAGTGACATACAGGAGTTGCCTACAGTGTTCTATTCCTCGAATGGGGTACAGTATCACACATTTTATAATAAAACTTTGAAAAGAATTATCTTTTAAAAAATTCTTTAGCACACTTAGTTTTTCATGATGTGTTGGAAAATAATACATTTTAAGCTTCAGATCTGACCCCAAATAAATTGATGAAATTTCCCTCAGGTGAACTACATAAAAGAACTGAAATAATCAAGTCACTCACAAAGAAGGTAAAAACCCTTGAATCTAATCAAATTGAATGCCAGACGGCCCTTCAGAAGACTCAGCTCCAGCTCCAGGAAATGGCTCAAAAGGCAACTCATTCCTCCCTCCTCTCTGAAGACCTCGAGGTTGGTTTTATGTCGTGATAAGCTTCACTGCTCGAATTCTGTTTGTGTTTCAGTTATTGAAAATGGAGACTTAAATTTCTCCATTAAAAATGCGTGCGTGTGTGTGTGGGAAAGCACATCCATCGCTCCGTCATCAGTCATCAGTTTCATATCCATTGCATTGCTTCGGTTAGCTGCACAGTGCTGTTCTGTCTTGAAGAAGCTTCATTACAACCCTTTTCTAACTGTTAGGCCGTATCAACAATGGGTCATTTTAGAAAGCCTTTCTCAAAGTCTGAGGTCACCATCATAAATTTGGTAGCTTCAAATTATGCTTTCTAAAGACTTGTGTCGTAGCTGACATGATAAACAAATATCTACACATGTTAGTGGCGTGTGGAGAATAAAATCTTTAAGTCTGGTTTTTAAATTTTCAGTTCAGCTTGTCAGTCACCAGATATTTTTTGAGCTCATGTTTATGAGAGGCACAGAAAAAGCCATTATTATTTTTTGTTATATTTTTCATATTTTTTTCAGAATGATATTAGTATAGGTCTTAGTAATATGAGTCTTAGAATTCATTGTAATAATATAGATTTTATTTTATACCTTTAAAATTTTTTTTCAGATTACTATTCTAGACAGTTTCTGTCTCTAAAATAAGTAAAAACTATTCTAGAATCTATTGATAATGTTGAATTAAAAACTGGAAATGTAACAGTCACCTTGGGCTGCCATAGTGAAACACCATAGATTGGGTGGCTTAAACAACAGAAATTTCTTTCTTCATAGTTCTAGAGGCTAGAAGTCCAAGATCAGGGCGCCAGCATGGTTGGTTTCCGGTGAGGGCTCTCTTCTGTGGCTTATAGACAGCCACCTTCTTGCTGTGTGTGTCCTCAAGCCATGGAGAGAGCAAGCAAGCTCTCTGGTGTCTCCTCTTGTAAGTGTACTATCTCATTCTGAGGGCCTCACCTGCATGACCTCATCTGAACCTAACTGTCTCCCAGAGGCCCATCTCCACATACTGTCACATTGGGATTAGGCATATGCATTTGGGAGGATGCAATTCAGTCTATAGTGGGATGGTTTTTGTAAATTAATAAACATTATTTTTTAGGGCAGTTTTAGAGTGGAACATACAGAGATTCCTCATACATCCCCTGCCTTCCCCACACACAGCCTCCCCCCTGTGGACATTCTGCACCAACCACCTCAGTGCGTGCGTTGTCATCAGTGAGTCTGTACAGCCCGTCATTATCCCCCAGGGTCCATAGCTTACATTCAGGTTCACTCTTGGTGGTGTGTATTCTGTGGGTTTTGACAAATGTATGATGACATGTAACCACTTACAGTGTCATACAGAGTAGTTTCACCACTTGAAAGTCCTCTGGGCTCCATTGCTCCCTCCCGTGACCCCTGGCAACCACGGATCTTTTTACTGTCTCCGTCGTTTTATTTTTCCTAGTATGTCGTACAGTTAGAATTACATAGTATGTAGCCTTTTCAGGTTGGCTTCTTTCACTTAATAACATGAATTTCATTTTCCTCCATAGAGTTATCTTTTAAAAAGCCTGATTATTTTTTCTAACCAATAAATTCATCATATACTCAATAATTATATCATATATAGTTCTATGGTTTTAAAAAAATCTCATAAGTGAGAATACCAATAGGAAGTTCCTTCAACACAGAGTAAAAAATAAAATTAAAAAAAGACGCACAGAAGTTTACCAATGCTATTTTATTTTCAGCAGAGGAAATCTCTTACTGATTCACTTTTCATTCATTTCTTTCTTTCCTTCTTTCTTGCCAACCTAGAATTATACATAAAAGGCATTAGGAAGTAGACACGCGTACAGACATTACCAATAATCCAGATGAGCAAACACAATATTGAGAGGATGCGAGAGGTAATGGGGAAATAGATATTGTATTCGTTTTAGGTGACTGCTTACTTAGCCCACTTTATTACTAAAAAAAAGCTAAAAAAAAAAAAAACAGAAGAATGAGCACAGATTGTGGCTGATGATAGTAACGAAAGCTTTTAAATGACTCACAAATTAGTATTTATGTGTTGTTCCCTTGTAGGCTAGAAACGAAAATCTCAGCAACACATTAGTGGAACTTTCTGCTCAGGTAGGACAATTACAAGCTCGAGAACAGGCTCTCACGACCATGATAAAGCTAAAGGTAATTTCAAATAGTACTGCCTCCATTCGCCGGGGTACTTCGTAGCTTATGTAGTATAGTCACAGACATGATCTTACTTAAGTCCCATAGCAACGCAAATAGATAGAACTGCCGGTATTGCTCTCTTTGTTGAAATTCTCATTTTAGAAACGAGGGAAACAAGTTTAAAATGACTCCGAGGCCCTGAGAGAGGAGGCAGGTCTCCACTTTTGGGCCCAGATTACCTCGTTTCCTTCTGAGGCATCCATTGTGAGGTTGCACAAGGTCACTGGCCGTCAGCTGGCTGGTTGATCATTTTTCTTGGAGAGAAGACCTGTTAGCAGCCGAGCAGTTATGCGTATAGTTACTGACGTGCCATAAACAGTGACTGGCGAACGGTCTCTTCGGCGTAGCACGTGTTTGACAGCCGGCTCGTAGGGAAATGGTGGTGGCGGAATAGAACACTCATGCTGATTCATGTGTGATTTTTCCCAGCACATTCGTGTTTTCAGGTGATCAGGGGCAAGCTTTCTTAAAATTAAAGAGAAAATATTAAAAGCTTCAGAATTGCCTTTAGCCAAGTGGCGACTAGTTTAGTGGTTTCACCAACCACCACGGCTTCCGTCGTAGCGAACTGCCTGGCGAAGCTCTGAGTATAATGAGGATGCTGAAAAGGACTGGCTTCCTGACGCATCTGTGTTGACATTTGCTGAACTGTATTTGTGTACCTAATAGGACTGCCGGATTTTTTGCCATTGGTCTGATCACAAAGTCCCATCAGCTTTTAAACGGTTTGTCCAGCCCCCCTTTCTCCCATGAGCCCTCCTAGTGTGAGATGTGCAGACTGCGAGACTTTTCATGATCACACATGCTAGGCCAGAAAGCCTTGTCCTCCAGCAGAGGTCAGACCTGCTGATAACAGTTATTAGTGTCTACGGCCACGCCACCCTGAACAAGCCCGATCCCGTCTGATCTCAGAAGCTAAGCAGGGTCAGGCCTGGTGAGTACTTGGATGGAAGATCAGGTGCTGTAAAAAATAAAAAATAAGAGATTGTAAGCTGGCAAGGTCCTTACAATCTGTGAGGTCAACTAAGGGTTGCCTTGCCTAAAAAAAAAAAAGTTATTAGTAGGGGAGGGAGAGAACTTTCACTTAGTATTTTTATACTTTTAGGTATTGTTTGAATTGCTTTTCAACAAGCAGATACCTTTTTTTTGTAATTAAAACAATTACCTCGACAATAAGAAGTTCTGATGTGGGTGGGTTTTAAATAGGGTCTTGGAGTCATTTTAACCAGCCGAAAAGGAAGGGAGGAAGAGCAGGGCCCATGGGGTTATCTGTAATGCAGAGCGGAAGCCCCCTCAAGGGCCACCAGGCTTCCTGTTGCTCTTAGGTTTTCTTAGTTGAATTATCTGGTCCTAAGCTTTCCATGCTGGGTCGTGTGTGGTTTCCGGGGCCAGCTGGCTAGTCAACTCCATCTCTAGTTAGTTGTGTAATCGTGGACAATTTAATAGTGACTCGTCTGTCGCATGGGGATATAATAGTACCTCAGAGAGTTACCGTGCAGATTAAATGAATTACCCCTGAAAAATGCTTAGAATGCAGTCTGGCACACAATGACTTCTTAACAAATGTAATTTTTTCGCATCGATTGGTTGGAATTTAAAAACCTCATATAACAGTTTTCACATCTGGTTTTTAGGACAAAGATATTATTGAGGCAGTCAGTCACATCGCGGACTGCTCGGGTAAATTCAAATTATTAGAGCATGCCTTACGCGACGCCAAGATGGTGGAGACTTGTATCGTGAAAGAAAAGCAAGATTGTAAGCAGAAATTGAAGACGCTTAAGGTTGAAATTAATAAACTAAAAGGTAAGGAAGAGACATAAATTTAAGCATTTTGTCCTGGAAATATATTTCCTTATTCAGGTTCACTCAATCTCATGATTGAGACTAGGTCTGTTGCTGGCTTTAGGTCCTACCACGAAGTGTTCATTTTGTGTGCATAGAATTATGCTGCAGTTTTTTTATTGCAAGATAAATAACAGAGTTGGGGAAACTGCATAATGCGTTATGTTTTAAAAATAATCCTGCCTCTGCCATACAGTTAGCTGTTGCCAGTACATACTTCGTAAGAACCGGCGACACTGTCCTGGTGGCTTGCAGCAGTGAGCCTTTCCTAAACGCACGCGCCTGGAAGCGGGAATGGGCCGGTCTCAGTTGGGCCCAGCTGGGCTGCTCATCCTGGCGCAGTTCCGCTTCCTGAGTGTCACCTCCCCACCTGTAGGCCAGCCTGGGCGCTTCCCCCCACGGTGGAGGCAGGAGCTTATGAGAAGCACAAACTCGTGAGGACCTGACACAACCTCGCCTCCTCCTCATTCTGTTGGCCAGAGCAAGTCACATGGCTCAGCCCTAGGTCAAGCAGTAGAGAAACACCCTCTGCCCCTTGGCGGGAGGGACGAGGAACCAGCACTGACAGCACAGCCTGCCAGACTGGCCTTCCGTGCGTGGTCGGTTTTAAAATTCCTCCGGGTCCTCCTTTTCTGTTTGCATTCTCACAGTAACTGCATGATCCGTTTCTTTCTGAGTAGTGTCACTTGAAGTTTTATAACGAAGCGAAGGCCAGGTATACCAGATAGGTTAGTGCTGTGCGCTTGAGTATGGACGTAGGTGATGGAGTCAGAATTTAAATTCGTCTGCGAGGCTGGGGCGGGGCCCTGCCTTCCTCAGGCTGCCGGGCTGAGGAGCTGTCTCTTTGGCCTTCCGTCCGCACCCATAGCATCACCCTTTATAAATGGTCATCACGCTAGGCACGAAGACTGACTCCCACGGTGGAAAAGCACCCTTCAGGTGACAGAGCCATGCTGTGGGGGGATTTCTTCTGCGTCCCACCATCCGTCTGTCCATCCATAGTGAGTGCCTCGCGAGGCAGCGAGCTGCTGTTGAAACTGCAAGTTTATTGTGGCCGATTTAACTTAAAAGACTCAATCTCGTTCACATGATGCCCTGACTTGTGGCAGATAATAGGTTTTTGTCTCCATTTGTGGCTCCATTTGTGACTGCAGCCGTAGTCGCACTGTAGGCCCTTTGATGTCGGGGACCGACCCTTTTCTTCAGATCTACAGTTAGTGGCACAGCTCCTGCGTACATTGTAGGTGTTTGGTAAATATTTACTGGATGCTCTGTATACCTAGGTGAGATAGTCAACTAAAAAGTCTGTTTCATCAATATTTATGCCTTATTTTAGAAATTGAATGTCCATTAAACTATTTTTTTTAAGAAAAGCAGTAATGGATGGTAAACTAGAGAGAGGGACAGAGACTCATTTCGTTTGGGTGGACTGTCTTCGAAGAGAACATTTGAGCTGAAACTTAGAGATAGGAAGATCTTGGCCAAGAACGTTCCAGGCAGAAGGGGCAGAAAATGCAAAAACCCCAATGGTGGGTTTCGAGGTTGGGACGCGTCCCAGGAACAGAGAGGAAAAGGGAGCATGAAAGGCAGGGCCAGGCCGCGCAGGGCTGACGGCGAGTTTGGGTTTCGCTTTCAGCGTAGCAGAGAGGTGACGTGAGCAGAGCCCCATTGCTCTGGGGACAGCAGGCGAGGCTGGAGCGGGGAGGCCAGTGGGCAGCGCTAGGCACGCAGGGAGATGTCGGATGTGGGCGCGTATGGACTGACATTCACAGGACTTTGGATTAACTGGGAGGGTTGCTGAGGTCATGCGAGGCATTCATAGTGTGTATTCTCTTAGGAACTGCTATTTATCTGAGGACTTTTTTTTCCTTCTATTTATGAAGAGGATCTCAATGAAAAGACAACAGAAAATAATGAACAACGAGAAGAGATCATTCGCCTCAAGCAAGAGAAAAGTTGCCTGCACGATGAATTGGTTTTTACTGGTAAAAATAGATAATTAGTTGAAGTGATTAAATAGTTATATATTTGCAACCTGAACTTTCTACAGTACTACTATGACAGACTAAATATATACACATATATTTTAATACCCTTTAGATACGGGGAGGGCCCAGGCAGGGGATTTGAAAGCGGTTATCATGCCTCCTACTTAACTGCTTCCTCTTCTCTAAAACGAGGGTCTGCCTCCCTCCCAGATCAGGTGTGTGACTATCCTTCTCACTAAAAATTCATTAAAAAAGAATCTTATGAATCAAAGGAGGAAGGATGTTTATACCTTTGCAAATACTATGTAAAAATTAGCAATTCAACATTTTTCCTGTTTTGCAAATTGATTGCCTATAATTATTACAGTTGGAAAAATACTCATGTGTTACATCAGCGTGACCCTAAAGTAATAACGCTGGGGGTGAATTTTTTTCATGCTATAAAAGCAAGTTTATCAGTAAGGTGTAACTCGGGCCCTGTCCGATGAACATAGAAGCTGCATTTCATACCCCCGGCCCCCCACATTCCCTCACGCTTCGTCCTCTTCCCGCCCACTTCAGTGTCTTAGAATTTCCGCGAGCGAAGCCTCTCCTTTTTCTGCTCCCGGCTGGATATCACTAGTCTGTAGATCTCTTCTCTGTCCCTGCCAGCCACGAAGACTTTCTTCGGCTTTTTGGTAGTTTGTATTAGGAAAATAATAGATTTGGAGGTAAAATTCCAAATAGAATTAAATGAACATTTTGGGGGTCTACACCTACCCTCAGCGCCTCTCCTTATAGGAAGAGAATACATTTCTATAAGTTAGAAGGCAAAGTGTAGTGTTCTATTAAAATTTTTTCAAATAAAATGGAGTTCTTAATTTAAATCTCATGTATTTAAAGGATGCGTTTTCTACCACTAGAGGCCACTATTTCCATTATTTTTAGGATCGCTTTGTCTCAGAGTAATGTTTCATATTGCTAAAGAGAGAGAGACAGACAGAGACAGAGACAGAGAGATAGAAGATATATATGTATTAGTAGCTTCAGAACTGAGTCCAAACACCTTTGGGTCAGCATTTGTGTGCCAGGCACTCTTTTAGTTGCTAAGAAGCTCACAGGCCTAGAGAATTCAGTGCTATACAAATGCTGTGAATAAAATGCTGCCAGAGGTCAGAGGAAGAAACAGCGTCTTTTCTTTTTGATTCACCATTTTTTGCTCATACATTCTCTTATGTATGACCAGGTAAAATATATAGAATTTATTACATAATACTATAATGAATCCATTTTGCGAAATAACTTTTTTTATCAATTCCTAAGCTGATTTCTTAAACATCTTTTCTATTCATACCAGTGTCTCAAAACAATTTTTGTGTATTTAAATTATAAAAGTGAGTTAAACCTAAAAATAATATTAAAAGGTTTAACATAATGATATACTGTCAGGTGCTATGGCTAAAAAGTATGACATTTTAGTTGAAGTTGGAAGATGTCCTAAAAATGTACTTTTAAGATCAAAACTCTTTTTCCTCTTGTTGAAGACGAAGTGCTTCCCAGAGGCTTAAGGACACGTTTCATTTGTACAGATGCTTATAAGAAGTTTGCAAATGAAACGGCGATAGTAGCTACACTTCCAAGGGCCCGACAGCCCTGAGGTGAGGCCCTCTGAGACCGAGTGGCCTGCCTGAGGTCTCCTGGTCAGTGAAAGGCAGGGCCTTGAGCAGAATTTGGCTGGGTCCAGACCTCAGTGCTGTCTCTCTTGGGCCGCGTGCTCGGGCAGGTATCGGCAGAGAGTTCCAGACCCCTTTGTGTTCTCCGACAGTCCACTTTGATCTCTCAGCTACACCCAGCCGGGTAGAAAAGTATGTGATCTTGGAAAACAGTTTATATTTACAGTGGAATTGCCTCTTACGCAACAGTAGATTATTCTAAAGTTAGAGATTAAGGCAAAACTCAAATATATTTAAGATTAGTCTTGAACGCCTGATAAAGTGGTTGGCTTTTGTTTAGGGAGCGTGCTGCATCCAAAACAAGTCTCTAAAGACTAGGAATGCACGCAGCGGGTCACGGTGCCGTTAACACGAGAGGCGCGTGGACTCGAGACCAGCTGACACTCACAGATGCGCTGTGGGCATCACTTCCACTGTCCAAAGTAGCTGCGCTTCCTTTTTAAAATTTTTCCTTCGTGCATATGATCGAGTTCACATCAGCTAAATACAACTCCATATAAATAATGCAAGTCCACCACGTATGTCTGCTTTCGTTATGGTGTTGACGCAATTAATGCAAAAAAGTTCAGAACTGAATAGAAAAGACATGGTAGTTTGAACCTGGCACTGCGGCCTTCACTGAGCTTTCCATGTTCTCCATCGTGTGCACAAGGACTACCTTTAAAGTCAAACATGCTGCAGACCCAAGTCGGAGGTTGTGTGAGTGTGATTTTGCTCAGATCCTTCCCACTCTTCCTGGTCTCCTGTGGCCACCAGCAAACACTGCAGAATTGCTGTCCAGGTGGAGTGGCAGTCTGTAGCAAAGCACACGCCTTTGTCCTTAAATAGTTTTTGTGCTGTTCCAAATGTAATGTGATAAAGATAAATATTTTTATTCTTTTTCATCCATTACAGAAATGACATGTGAAAACAGTGTTTTATGAAAAAACCATAGATATAAGATGTAAATTTTGATTTACATTTTATCAGATTTACTTAAAACTGATTCATGTAATTAAAGGGTCATTTTACACGTTTAGTTTGAACTTCTTGTAAAGATTGATTTTTAAAGTGAAGCATTTGTTGATTTCTCACTTCTATATGAATGAAAAGATTTCTCCTTAAGTGTAATATTAATATTTTTTTGGTACAAGTCTTTGTATAGCAAGCACTTCAGATTCTTTCCTTTCTGTGGATTTTCATTTACCAAGCTATGAAACTTTTTAAAATACCGATTTCTCGTTTCCCAACTCTAATAATAGTGAAGTGTCCGTGTTTCAGCAAAATGTTTGTGGTCTTTGTAAAAGAGTGAAGATTTTAAAAGAATATATCTCTGTTCTGTCTCTTTGAACTAAGAAATTGAAAGTAAAACGTTTACTGAATGGAATTCTGAATCTGAATCACCTATCAGGTAAAAGGAGTTTTCAAGAAATAGGAAGTCTTTAAAAGAATGCTGGGCTTTCATTAAAATGGAAATACCGTTTATCTGCCTGTGGGGACCCCACAGGTACAAACATCATCGGTTTTGGTCAGTGAGAACACATAGGAAGGGCCAGATTGTGAGATTGTATTAGGCTGACTGGCCTATTGGTAAAAATAGTGATTTTTGCCCCTTGTACTGTTGATTTTTTTCTGTCGGTAGAGGTAATATGTTTGGATTTTTACAACGAAAATACATTCATAAGTTACCTGTGCAGTGTGCAAAAAACTAAACTTTAAAGTAATGTGTATATATTTTAAAGATTTAAAATCAACCTCTTCCTCCCCAGAAGAAGAGAGGAAAATAATTGTCATTCATCCTCCCATCCAAAGATAACTTTTTAATGTGTCGGCCTCCGTGCACCCCGACTTTTCTGTGCACGTGTGCATCCATGCACACATACAAGCACACACGTGTACCTTGTCATAGAGTTGATACAACTTTGAGTCCTTTTTTGACTTAGCATTAAATATATTACAAAAGTTTTCAGATTGGATGAAGGATCTGGTTAGAATCACGTTTCACAGCTGTTCTCAGCCATTCACTTCGCTATTTTTAAATTCAGGAACAAGGGGAAAAGAACGTTAGCCAGGCATAAATTGTTGAAAATGAAGAGGCTTGTGTCGATAGGGCTGCTGAAAAATATTTTAATAATATTTATTCTTCAATAGCAGAGAGAGAAAAACGGAAAGATGAGTTACTTGATATTGCAAAGTCAAAGCAAGAACGCACGAACGCAGAACTGCATAATTTGAGACAGGTGTGTCTCCAGTTATATTTCTTTTACTATTAGGTGGGAAACATTTACAAAGAAACATCAAATTAGGAAAAGTGTGTGTCTGTTGATTTTGTTGATGGTGCTTCTGGAGCCCTAACTACATTCAATGCGTGTTACTTTTAGCTTAGCAGATAGGGTCTTGTTTATGGTAATTAAAGGTTAGGAGACCAGTTATACTAACAAATGTCAGTGTTAACGTAGGAAAAATAAAAGCGAAAACATTTAGCCTGTTTCTCTAGTCATTATCTGGTCTGACTGTGTAGAATTTGAAAGTACCAAATTATTGGCTCAATTTAGTTTTAGTGTTACATTTATATTCATTTATCAATATCTGTGGCAGATTTATGTAAAACAACAGAGTGATCTGCAGTTTCTTAATTTCAATGTGGAAAATTCTCAGGAATTAATACAGATGTATGACTCAAAGATGGAGGAATCAAAGGCCCTGGAATCCAGGTAATCATAGGAAGATCTGTTAATACGACCTTGTATTTTATTCCATCATTCAGTCAGTATTTGTTAAGCACTTACTGTGGGCCAGCACCTGCTACCAACCCCACTGTGACATACGTGCGCTCATGATGATCATTCTCCTGGGTGGTGGCCAGGCCTGGGCTTAGAGTTTTAGGCACGATCCTAATCTAGCCACTTGATAACAGAAATTCGTTAAACATGATCGTGTGTCTGTTGTGTAGGAGGCTTTGAGCTAAAGTAGAACTCCAGGGATGAATCATGTATTCATTCATTCAGCTCTCGCCGTGTTATAGGCACTGGGCTAGAAATAGGGAAAGCCACAGATTTTTTTTAAGGGGTGTGCTGGAGTGGGGCTCTCAGCTCTGTGCTCGCCTTGGCTCTCCTCGTCCCAGCTGCTGGAAGGAGATGTCCCTTCCCCATGATGAGCCGTGTGTGAATTAAATGGGTTTCTCTAAAATTAAAACAGAAATATCTGTGGCATGGTTTGGTTTAACAGGCACGTGGCTGTCCCACAGTTAAATTCGGTCCACTTTCCCAAGGGGTCATGGGAAGGAACGGGGCTTCGGGAAGTTCCCCGCGGCTGCCATGACCGCCCAGCCTGCCCCGGTCTGACGGCGGCTCCTTGACCCACGAGTCCGTGGTTCCTGCAGAGGGATCCACGGGGCGAGGGCTGGTGCAGACGGCGTGACGGCGGGTCCAGCACTTCTCTTCCCAGGCCT